GGCTAAATCCCTAACTCCCCATAGCAAATGCTGAAGGTGAAGAAAGGTATTGCAAAAGCAGTGTAAAGTTGAGTGAAATGCACCTACCTTGTAGGCATGCTAGGCATTACCTAGAGCAGCATAACAGGGGTGCTACGTTCCTTGCAAAAGGAGCTGAAAGAACAGAATCATGAGAGATTAAGCTTCCAGCATTGCTTCTTGAACAGGAGGGGTCATCTAAGCTCAGTAGCCATTTAAGAGTGAGGCAGTTTGGAGTCTTAACACTAAAGCAGCTGCCCAGGCACCCCTGCTGCAGCAGACCTATGTATTAGCGCCTCCCCCAGGGACAATCTGTCCTCCAAAAGCTTTGAATTTGTGTCTACTTGCCCAGAAGTTAGATGCATTGAAATCTCCACTCATTTTCTTTCTGACTGCTCACGCAGAAAATTAGTTTGGAGATGAGTGTGTCATATTGGGGTGCCCTGCTCTGCTGCCCTGGGCAGCCAGAGCAGCTCTGCACTCAGATGTGACTGCTGAAAGGGGTGGAGAACAGCCTGTGGAGCTGCATATGAATCACTTGGACTTCAATTCCCAAGTTGAACTCTGGATTTTGAATGATAAACTATGGCTTGATGTAACTCAGCACCTGTGAAAATTAGGCCACCATCCATCTTTCACCTTCGGTCATGCATTACAATGAAAATCAATCAGACTTCTTCTCCAAAATCAGTGCTTTTTTTACCAAGTTGACACAACATTGTGCTGCAACATGAATAATTGAGAGTCATATGCAGACTATCAACTTCAGGCCCTATTTAGGTTTTGCCATGTCTTGAAGATGGGTACTCAGCCAGCAGAAATTATTTAGATCACCCACATAAGAGACCTAACTACCTCCTACGCGGACAGAGTAAGATCTAAGAGCTTCCTAAGGCTTCCAAAAAACAAGCCAAAGGTTCTATGTTGGGATCACCGTACCAATCACTATGTTAGGAGCACTTCCATAGGACTATACATGGTGTCAGCACATGCATTTATTAATGCTGGATTGTTGTTGCTAGCATATGGCAGTTCACAGAAACAAAATCTTTTTGATTCTATTAGACAGGCACATAATTACTTGAATGTTACTGACATTGAAAGCATGGAGCTATGAGGGTGATCAGAGCAGTGTCACAGTTTTCCCAACGCCAAAGCATATTATTAAGCAACAGAGAACACTTCTAAGAAAGGACACATGATATTTACAGAAATAATAAATCAAGCCTTGCGCATAACCTTTGCACAGAGCCATATGAAATGCAGATACAAACTCATAAATTTTCTGTTGGCGACATATAATGTTTCAGAACAGTGTAATTTTTCACCCATTAATTTGGGGTGATCATAAATGACTGGAGTTTGCATGAAGAATGCATAAATACTGTGACAAACAGGAAAATATCAAGATGATTTTAACGACTTGTTCATGCCTCTTTTCTATTTCTTGGTAATTGCTGATTTGCTGTGTGATTAAATCAAAGACTGCTCTTCAGGAAGAAAGAGAAATTTTAAAACGGCAAAGACAAGACTGCAGCCCAAAGTAAATAATGTCAAAGATTGTAAGACAATGGCAGATGCCTCATCAGTTGTGAAATGAATGCTTTCCGGATTGATGTTTGGGGTCAAAACACATCCTGAATTGTAAAGATGGTATTAGAAAATGGGAATTGTTTCTGGATTGTCAGACTGGCTGACTCCCCTTCTTTGGGAGACTTGCAGGGGCATGTCTAAATCTTTATTGAGACACTTTGGCCACCATTGAGACCAGATTTGTGAGCTGCCCGAGCAACAGACATGAAAGGCCTGGTTTGCTGATGGTAGTGGCTCCTGGAGGGAAAGAAGGACCGGTGCTAACCCCAGGAAGGTTTGGCAGAGTGGTCAGGTTCATGCAGAGGAGCTGTTGCCTAAGGTTCTTTGTGGACCCTGCTTGGACCACGCACAGCCACCCCAACAGAGCGCAGGAGACATAGACAAAGGGTATGGGGAAAGATGAAGAAGCAGATGTGTGCAGGGTTAGGCATGAGCTGGCACCAGAGGGTCTACCTGCCCCATTAACGATGAGGAGGGTTCTCTCTGGGAACAGGCAGCGGCTGGGAGTGAGGCTTGTTGGAGGCTGTAGCTTAGCTGTGTCTGGGAACTGGCAGGGATTTTAACAGCTGGAGCTGCCAAAGCAGCCAAACTGACCCCAACACAGCCCCGACCCCGACGATGAACTTGAGAGGGACAGAAGAAATACAAGTACATCTCACCTCGTAACTATGTCGCGCACAACATGAGCTTCCACTGGAAAAATTCATCAGAATGTGAACTTTTATTTCAGTGGTGTTTTTAGCTGGAATTTTTTTCCAAATTGTTACTATGCATTTCCCAAACTTTTTCCCAAGTCTGCTCAGTATTCTAAAGAAACATGAATGTTTCCCATATGAATCAAACAAGGTTTATAGCTTTTCACAAGTTTTATTAACATGTGGTAGAGTGCCTGCCATAATGAAGGAAATTCATGTCAGTGGGAATACTAGAAAGAAAAAAAGAAGGTGATTTATTAGAAGCGGTATCTTCTTAAAGCTGGCTTAAATTTATAAGAATTTTCCAACATCTGTCTAAAGATTTTGCTGATTTTTGTATCAACATGTGAGAAACATACAGTACTGTAATTGCACCACACTGTTCTCAAAACAGTTCTGCAAAGATATACTGTACTAAGGAAGCCCTTTTATTAATGACACTGTACTTGGCAAAGGACCCAGGAACCATATCAGTGAGAGAACCATTCAGAAACATGTTTATTTTAAACTTTCAAATTGGAGTCTCCTGTTTCACTGGGGTTACATGGTTGTAGATCTGTTGACCCTAGCAAAATTATTCCTAATTTATACTGGCATAACTGAGTAGATTCAAGCCTTAGACAGCCACTGGAAATAACAGTAGCATAAAAAGCTCTGGTTTTAGCATGGCACTTAGAAACGAGCTGGGAGAATTTGGTACTGGGAGAAGTAATTGGAGAGGCTGATCAGACATGGCACCTGGAAAGTTTGTGTTAACACCTTCAGAGAGGGGGTTTTAGGTAGTGTATATACCTTTCAAACTAATTACACAGTTTATTTTAGCTAATCATATTTCTGGGCAGGAATCCAAATGTTAGTTAGGCAGGATAGGTGGAGAGACGTATATATTTTATCAATAAGATAAGCCAAGTCAGTAGTAAAGCTCATGAAAGAGTGCAAGAAAAAACACTCGTCATTATTGTAGTCATGACACAGTAATAGCATGTAAGGGGAAATTTCAAAGTTTTGTATGAAAATTTCACTTTTACAGTGTAAGATGATTTTTTTTAAGGTTTAATTTGATTGCTTCCTGTGTACTTAAGCATATTATTAACTTGGCTATACACCATCTTTCTTTCTGTATTAAGTTGATCTGTCAAAGATAAAAGCTCCTGCTCTTCATAGCTACAGCAGATGCTTCTCATGAATGTACCAGTTCAGCAACAGTCAAAAAAAAGAAGATATATTCTTGAGGATAATGAACTAGCTAGAGTCATCAAAATAAATTATTATGGCCAAATATTACATCTGTGAAGACAACATGCAGCAATGCAAGTTCCTGAAGATTCAGCCTAGTACTGTGCTGTTTATGCTGAGATAGCATTCCTATTAGGTTTAAAAGGTACCGTGAAGTTTCCAGGCACTTCTGACTGACAAAGAATATTTTTCATTGTTAATTTACAGTCTTTCTGAAAAATCAACTTGCAGAAGATGTCCTGCAATCATTTGTGTCTGATTGCGCTTCAAATCTGCTTATAATAGAAGCCCCTGAAATGGTTTACTTGCAGTGTTTCTGGATGACTAAGCCTGTGGTTTAAATAACAGGATGAATGTAGGCAGGGACATAGGACTGGGAAAAAATCTCCTCCATTAGTGAGGGTTACTGAATCCAATCCTTTTTTCTCTATTTCATGTCATTCTTTCATTTTACACTCTCTTCCTCATGAAGCAGAGACACTTACATGGTAAAATACACTGACCTCGGGTGAAATTCTTCACCTGGGCACTTGTACTTTATGCAGTTGAAGAAAGATAGTTTGGGAGGAAAAACACCTACCCCAAGAGTTTTCCTGTACTTGCCTTTGAGACATATACAATGTATGGGCATCCACTGGCCCTGTCCTTCTTGCTCTGTTCCCATTCCAGTGCATTTTAAGTTCGGAAACCTTCTTGGTCATGCATCAGTCCCTTTTTTCTTTGTGTATTGAGGTACATGGGGCACTTCTGAGATTTCTGGCTAATTCTCAAATGGTAACTCTGCAAATGCAGTGTTAGGAAAGGGTGGAGGATCCATTTTTTTCAGGCAAATAAATACAGTAACTTGGCTTAAGCTGCTCCTATTGCAAAGGATGGCTGCAATATCAACATGGCTCTGTGGTTTAAGGTGACAATTGATCCATAACAGATGTCATCCTCTGTTCATTTCTAGTAAAAAGGTACTTTGTTCATTTTCATCTGTAATAAAGCATTGGATCATTCCACAGCCTCCTTATTAAATTAAATGTATCTTCTCCTTTGTCTTCGATGTCAGGTTGATCCATAGTAGTAAAAAAATAACAGTTTAATATAACTTCAGCATCTTTTCATAATGCCATTACATCTGTTAGCTCACCACTTTCCATTAAGACAGAGAATGTGATGAAAAACAATGAGAAATCAGGAATAGACGTAGTGGTACTCAACTATTAATTTGTTTGAAAAATAACAGGACTTTCTTGCTTTCTAATTTTTACTGTTTACACTGGGAACTACCCAGGCTGTTTATAACACAAGAATAGACACACACAAGTGCATCATACAGTTCACAAACTGCTGAAGCTCTATCTTGTTTGATTTGTAGTCCTTTGTTATCCAGAACCACTGTGTAGGTGGTTGGAAAACACTAGGAAGAAATTTTTAAATGCTGCTTGTTTAGTCTGTTCTTGTATTTTGCAGCTGACACCAGTCTTGGAACAGATGATGTTTATGATGATAAAGGGTGCCAGTGTGATGTGTCAGTAGAAGATCTCACCCCTGCTCTTAAAACTGTCATCAGAGCAATCAGGTGAGTAAAAAATACTGAATGAATAAATATTTGAGACTTTTTACTAATTACCTGCATGTCAGTTAATAAAATGGTAGTTAGTTGAACTTATTACATGGCTATATTTGTTACATAACTAATGCTAATATAGTTTATTTATGCCTCCTTTTCTTCAGTCTTTTAATTAAAAGTTAAAATATTTTATCTGTTCTGTTATCAGCTTTTCAATGTCTAAAACTGTTACATGATTTGACTCAGAAAAGACAGACAGTCATGAATGCTGGTTTCCACTATATTTCCTGTAATCAAAAATACTGTAATCCAGTTTAATGTAGTTTTACTGAATGTGTATCGCCTTGCCTGGAAAAGTTATTTCCTTTCAAAGTTTAGGGGTTTATTGCATTTCCATATTCCTGAATCTGTCTGTCATATGACTTTTATTGCAACTTCCTTCTGGTAACAGCAGAATAACTACATTCATTCAATTGTGCAAAGCCTTGCCTGCCACTATCCATTGAACTAAATATAACCCCAATAATTTAAAACTAATAATCTTTTCCAAGAAAGTAGCAAACTGCATTGAAACCTATAAAATTACCTGTATTGAAAGCTTAAACTTAGCATTCACCCTCCTGAGTGCCAAGCCTCTTCATCTTACCGAATATTTTGAAGTGCAAATCCTGACAGGTAAAATCCCCATAAAGAGAACATCCACAAGCAAGCAGAGCTCAAGCATTCCCTCTCTGCCAATAGCAAACCCAAGGCTATTGCTGAGGGTCACCCCACTGTCTGCATCACAGTCACATCAGTGCCCGACACCCTTCTTGCAGGGAGGCAGGCAGGCAGGCAGCAGCCACAGGGGATTTCAGCAAAACCCCATGGAAAGATGATATTTTCCTGCAGGGAGAGACTTGCCTGAGTTTTCTCAGCAGTATGGCAAGAGAGGACTCAACCTCTTTATCAAATAATTTCATACAGCGATAACCTATAGGCTACTTGTAATTCCTTTCTCTTTTTCCACTGATTGCCAATGAAGACAGATAATGAGTAAGGCTGTTCCTAATACTTCTCTGCTAGCACAGACAGCTTGACAGATCACTTGCAGACATCTGTTCCAACCATTTTTCCAACCTGCCTGGAAATGACCTCACAGGACGTGTCAGATACCAGGTCTGTGTCCACAGCCAACTGCAACTGGCAACTCAAATGTCACTGCCGAGAACCATTTCTTGCCAGCAATGTTTCAGCAGGTGACGGAAATCCTTCTATGCACTGGACACCCACCTACAAGGCAGGTCTTTTCCTTCAAATGGTAAATTCTCAAATTAGGAACAATCAGCAGAGCCCATTAGCTCTGGTGCCAAAGATCCTTGTCTGTGATGTTGCATTTTAAAAAGACTGGTTAACTCTTGGCTCCAAGTGCACATTGCCACGGTGCTGGCAAGCAGTAGCAAAGGTCATCTCATTCTTAGTACTGTCAAAATTCCTTAAGATCAACTTGATATTTTAATATTGAATTCATGGAGCTTGTTTTCAATGGCATCACTGGATTTTTCAAACACTTGCATCTTTTCTTGGTTCTCTTGGTAATTATCAGCTCAAATGGAAAGTAAGCAAATGTGAAGGATGTAGTTGGCAAACTTTCTCCACAGTGCCATCCACAGTAGTGTTTTAATAAGAAGAGCAAAGATGCAATAGTTTGGTTGTTTCAGACATACACTATTTAACTGATAAGAGTCAACTTTTTAGATTATCTTCAATTTTTTCTCCACACACTTGGCTTACCCAAAGCCAACTCATTTCACCACTGAGTTTGAGAATAAGAATTCTGCATCTCTGCTTGGTATCAGTTAGACACAAATCTCTCCCATCTCTCCTTGCAAATTTTACTGTTTCATTAGATTCCAAGTGGCACATGCATCTTGCTTCAGAAATGTACCTTTGAGATCTGTAAAGCAGTTATATGCCATGATCTTCAGACATGTGTTAAATGCTATACCTTAATCTCTCAAAATCAAGAGACTGATAATTCAGTTCATCAGGTAGCTGATACTCCTCTTTCTGATTATGCAGAGTATCTGTTACCTGACTACATCGGGATCTATGCAAACATCTGAAGAAGGATCTGAGACACTATATAGTAACTGTAGAATTTCAAGATGATAACATCTGCCTATATGGAAACTTTGTGCCTCATTTTGAAGTTTGTTTTTAGCAACAGCTTTGAATTGCAAAGGCAATGGAGGAGGGTAGAGGCTATTTTTCCTTTCATGCCGGTGTACAGGAGCAGATGAAGACAGAAGGTACTTGCATAGCTTCATGAGACACTACACAAAAGACCCCAAATATGAGCACACACAGTTGAATCCATTCTGGCTACATCACCTTGAAAAATTTCAATAATGGAGAGTAATTATTTTTTCCAGCTTAAAACTGGGTACAAAATGTTTTACAGTGATATAAATGGTCCTTTTGTTTTGGGGAAGAAAATAAATTAGCAGAATTAATTCATGCCTGTAGGTTTACAGTGGTAAGGCCTCTCTCAGTTTTGTAATCAGGAAGAACTGGGATTTTTTTTCTATGAAAGGAGTCTAGAATATACTTGTTACTCTCAGGTTGGACAACCTTGAAATAACAAAAGATAAAACCTGGTTTATGATCTTTCATTTTGGTAATTTCAAAGCGTACTGCTTCAGATTTGACCTTGCTTACTTAAATTTGTCCCAGGACTACTTTGTTCTTCAGGACAACTTTTTGATTTTAAGAAAACAAACCCCCAAACTTTCATTTTGAAATGGTCAAAACAGGAGATGGAGAAAACAGTCCTTTCCTGAAAAAGTACTTAACATACTGTCCCTTTCCAAGAATAGGACTCCCAACGTCTTACTGAAGACCTACTGGGCAGACGTGTCCAGTAGAATGTCAAGCTGTCAGCCTCCTCTCAAAGTCCCCCCAGCTGAGTCCATCTCTCGTGCTGCCCCCTCCACCCCCCCTTACTCTAAACTCTCTGTAAGGAAAGATGAACTGATGCAGTAGGGAAAGTAAGGAAAAGCTGCTTGATGCATTTGCACAGTGTTGGGTGAGTAGGGAACAGATGGGTAGCATGGTGAAACATGGTGTGCTCCACAGCGTGCCTTGGGCCAGGCCAGGATCAGTCCTGCTCCTTCACAGCCTCTGGCTGGGATCAGAGCAGTGCACAAACCAGTTCTTGCTAGCAGGGTACACTGAGCCTTTGTGCCAGCAGGTTTTGTAGCACTAATCAACTGGCCCTAGTCTTGTCGTGAACAAAATGCCATTAATATCCTGCAGAGTTCCTGAAGACTAACAAAAACCATTGCATTTTCCATCTCTGTTTGTTCACAGTGATGAATGTATATAAAAGAGAATAAAAGGAAGATGAGGATACCTTGTTTCCATATACTGTGATATCTCTGATCATTTTTCAAGCAAGAGACACTAAATTCTGTAATACTTTCCACAATGGAAATGATGAAATTATTTTACTACTTATGGAATATAAAATTAGATTTGAGAAGCGTAAATAAATATGCAATAGGAAATAACTGCAATGGCAGGAAGATGAACTTGCTGACCTAAGAGGTCTTTTCTCTCTTTAACTCTAGTGATTGTATAGATATGTTTTCATTTGTTGTTAATAAGAAATAATAATAATAATAAATGTAGCTAAACGTAATGAAACGAGAATTTTTGAGCTGATAAGATGTATAGTTGAATAGTGATACATATTTAATAGCTAAAGAAGGAAACTATAAATTACCATTTATGTTCAGCCTTTGAAATTTTTCTGCTACACCTATAAAATGTATTTTTAGCAGCCATTATGAATTTGTTCAATGGTGGTGTTTCAGAATCCTCTATTCCTTTTAAATCCCGACATATTGTATATTTTCTGCCCAGATGGTCTTCAGACTCTAGGCAAGGCTCTTAGAGGTGTCTTTGGCTACAACAGCACTGTGCTTGGGAGAAAACAATGTCTCTGGCTCCTAGGGGATGGGTTAGTCCAGGTCAAGACCCGAGAGAGGAAGCAATTTTGACCCACTGACCCCACATGTAGTGGAACTATCTCTCAACCACCTTTGTCTGTTGGCCTCTCTCTATCGGATCCTGATCTCTTCTGCACGTTGCAGTTTACCAGGAAGAAGGGTTATTTGGCAAGGTAAGGGTAGAGAGATGGAGGAACCAGCACTAGATCTGTGTGCACCTGCTTTCCTGATGTAGTAAGTGAGCAAACAACCTCATCTAGCTATGGGTAAAACAACCTGCCTGTCTTTTAATCTTCAAGGCAGTAACCATGTATGAGTTTACCTGAATCCCAGTAGAATTAAGTGCCATTTCTTCCTGAGATAGTGACAAGACTGACAAGATACAGGTTTAAAAATATAACATGAGTATGACAGGTCTGCACAGAGGATTAGAGATGTTCTGATATGGTGCTGGTCTCAGTAAAGTACACTAATGACAAGAGGAAAAGCTTTTAATACTGGAAGGGGCAACATGAATGGAAGTGGAAATACAACAAATGCCAGGAGAGATATGCAACCTGCATGTTCAGAAAACACCATAATTCTAGATAAGTACTATTCCTGCATTTGACAAGAGTTAAATGAAATGTATTCTGCTTTGGCTGCTAGGGTCAATAAGATAAAATTTGGTATTGGACCTGTAACTTTCTACAAATTACCGGGGAATGTAAAAATTAGTGGGACCTGTGGTTTAGATGCTAGCTACAGACAAAGCACTTTGGTATATTGGTCTAATTCAACACAAAAGACCTTTTTTTCTGCCCTCCTCTGGATACATCATTGAAATAGGCTACTTGTTATGGCTAATTCTCACCCAAAAAATTGTCACACTTGTGACTTGTATAGGTTTACAACCATGTATCGTCCATCACATTAGATTTGAGTTATAAAATACCACCTCGCTACATGGCATACAACGATATAAAAATACAAATGGTTTTAAAAGTCATGGGGACTAGACGGTTTTGTTCTTTTGGTATACTTCTTACTTTCAATTGCTGCTGTTGGGTCAGTACTAGCAGTTCAGTATTGCCAGTGGCGACTCAGTTTAGTTTATGATGAATCTTGTTTGCCCCCGTGTGGTACAACTAGAAAAGACAGACTGAGCTACCCTCTTCCTCCTGGTTTTATGTTAAGGGCTGGTGCTTCGAATACTTGGGGTATGAATAACTTTGTGCTCATTTTCCTTTTTTTGCACAGGTAGGTTACCCTGGGCCTTCATAACTGAACCCTTCATTTTTATCACACAAGAACACACCAGAATAAGCAACTTTTTATTCTAGAAGCACAAATGAAGGAAGCGCAAATGCTTTTTTGTTCACTATTTCTGAATATGCTCTATTGGTTGGAATAATCTTTCAGGACGGATGTTCAAGCCTATTAAGTTCAATTAAATAGTTATTTCAAGATCTAGAAAGTCAATTGAGCTTTTAAAATTGACAGTAAATAACCACGGAGAATCAACTGAAATTGATAACTGAAAAGCAGTTGCTAGGCTGCATCACTGAAAGAATTCAGGGTTTCTGTTTCTTAATTAACTTTCAGGCTTTAAAAATGCAAGTCTTTTATAACCGTTCGGGGTTTATTGCACAGTTTATTTAAAATTTTGTATATTTGAAGCAAAAAGAAGTGAGCAATATGGGTCTGATCCAAACCCTACTGAAATTAATTAATGTGGCATCACATGAGCCAATACTAAACCAGAAATAGTACAGTTATACCTCACTGATATAGCCATGATGATTTCGATTCTGTGTTTGACTTTTGCGCATTATGAACAAACTGCCTTGATAACCAAAAGCCTGTTACAAAGCTGCAGAGCAGGAATGAAAACTTTTGTGCACACTGATTAAGAAGCTTCTATGACTGTTAATAAAAATTATTTTTCTGTCTCTTCTCTTGTAAAATCACCCAGTTGTGGCAAATTAAGTTGTCTTCAATTGTGCTATTAATCTTGTGGCTCTGCTGTTCCAATAGAGTTTCATATTTTTACTTTATCAAGAGTGTGAAGTAAAAAAATTGTGACCACCAAAACAGAGAGAATAATAACAAAAGAATGATACTTTCTTGTATGTCAGCTACATCATTTATTCTTTGTAACCCGAATAAGAACTAGATTCCAGGAGATTGTCTGTGCTGTCAGACTATTATGAATGAGACATCTTGGAATCATTTGACACCTAAAAGAAATAAAAAATCTTCATCCCAGCTTCAGAGGCCTTCAGATTACAAAACACAAGTCATTAGTCTGTAGAACTGGCTGACAATGGAAAAGAGGAAAGTGCAGCATCTGACATACTTAAAACTTCATGGAGATCTCATTTTTAACTGGAAGTTACCGGAATGGGAAATATCAACAACCTAAGCACTGTGGGAAAAGGCTGATATTATTTGGAAGAATGTTTATGTATGTTACAGAAATTAGTAGAGGATCACTATATACTATTCATCTGACTCTACATACCTATTATCATAATGTCTGTCCTAACTATACGAAGTATGATTTTCCTAAATTCCCCTAAAACACTACTCATCTGTTTTTATCACAGAATGAGAGTCCTGTTTTGGTTTTTATTACAATTTATTATCTTATAGCGGCTAAATACATATTATAGTAAACACGGAGGGAATATATTAGCATGAATTATTGGCATTCGGACTGTTTCTGGTTTTTTTAACTGCAATAGATAGCAAATATCAGCAGTTTGGCCCTAATGGGGATTCATAAGCTCTGTAACACAGACCAGAATGGCCAATGCACCTGGATCCCTCAGCTTCTCTCCCACTTCTTGCAGTTCTCTCTTCTGCAGTTTTCATGTAAACCAAGGATAACTGCAGGTTTTACCAGATGACCTGGAAAATTGGCTCACTGTCATTTACTTTCCAAAGTTGTCATTTCTTTTATTTAAAATTTGCAATTTAATATCAAGCTTTTTTTTCTAAGAAGAGCTACTCAGTAGTCATCACATATTCACATAAGCATCACAGAAACTTCTGCAAGTCTGACATAAAAAACATGTCATTCATCATTTTTTGATATTTACTGTTATCTGATACTTACTATTCTGCAATAAAATTCAAGGAAAAAAATCACCAATGCTAATTAAACAATAATTCCCATAGCTTTCTATATGGAACAAATATGAAAACTTCTCTTTAGCCTGCAAAGTCTGGTCTTAAGTCAGCAAAATAAATTAAAATATAATTAAATCAATTTAAATTAAAATTTAAAAATGTTAATTAAATGTTAATTAAAAATAACAATTTATGAAAAATTAATTGGGTGCATAAATTTAACTTTTTTACAAAATAGAAAACAAAGAACTTAAAATGAGCACCAGAAGAAGAATGCTATTATTTATGTTTATGTAATTGATTTGTTAGAGAAACTTTCCTCTAACAAGAATGGAAGTAGCTTAAGCACAAATGTAGCTTACAGGATATCCCACTCAAGTCAGTGGGACTAATGTCGGTTTAAGTTAAGTATGTACTTCTGTAACTGTCATATCAGGCACCTAGGATAAAAAAGGCAAATAGGTGTATAATGATAAACTAAATACACTCTGCACTCTTTAAAATAGTGTTACCTGATCTTTCTTAAATAACAATTCAAAGGGATAGCTGCAACGCATTTGTACTTATAAAAAGAATTGTGTAAAAGGAAATGTTCACTTACACAAGCTGTATTGAAAGTATCTTCCATGTAAAAATTAGCTGTCAAATTTTGTCAGTGGAATATATTACATTGTTTCACAGCTGTTGAAGATTAATCTGTGAAATGCTTTTTCCCCACAGAATTATGAAATTTCATGTTGCAAAGAGAAAGTTTAAGGAAACACTTCGTCCATATGATGTCAAAGATGTCATTGAACAGTATTCAGCAGGTCATCTGGACATGTTATGCAGGATTAAGAGTCTTCAATCACGGTAAGGAAAAATAATTTCTGCTCTGCATATGCATCTTATGTCATTCAGTGCATAATGAATATTGGTAACGTTTAATATTGCTGTGTTATATTTGGGTACAAAGTGCCATCCAATCTTCAGCCCAGCTTCTCTTTCTGTGAATACTGCTGAACCAGAAATTATACTGTGGGTAAAAGCAAACAAAAAGACATGTATCTAAATTGTCCCCAGAAAATGGAAGTCTGAACAATAGAAAAGGTAATCCTTTATCTCTAAAGTCCATTCATAAACAAGAAATTTAGTCAGGAGGTTGCCAAAAGGATGAAGTCGACATTGAGAACTGCCTTTCTCCCATCCCAGACTTTTTCTTCTCATATAAAGGAAATTGGGAACTACTGGTAGTGTAGTATGTATGTGGCTTCTATATTCCTAGCAATAATAAGAATAATTTTTAAAAACCATTGCCTCCTGTATCATTACAAACATCAGGGCTGAGATTCATGCCTCAAACTGACAACTTTCCCAGGACTCAACGCTGAGAGTGGCACTGGTATCTCTGTTCCTCCACAACATCGGGCCGCTGGAGAGGCAAACTCCTCTCTACCCCTCTCAACAAGTCTAGCCCTTGCTCTCCCAGATGATGGCTGAGTTCTGGCCCCCAGTTAGTGCCAATGGAAAAGAAAAGCAGACTCAAATGCTCCAAAATAACTTTTATTTCTTAATTAATAAAATCATTTGTCTTCTTTTTCAAGTGGTTTGCTGAAGTACTGGGATTTTAGTTTTTAATGTACAGACACAGCATCCCATATCATCACCATTTTCAGGAATCACAGCTTCTTTTAATTTCTCTTACAGCGTTGACCAAATTCTTGGGAAAGGACAAATCACAGCAGATAAAAGAAGTAGAGAAAAGAATCCTGCAGAGAATGAGACAACTGATGACCTCAGTATGTTAGGGCGTGTAGTCAAGGTGGAGAAACAGGTAGAGTCATTATCCATGTTGCTTTGTCTTGCTCTATTGCTCATGCCTTTAGTGTATTTTATTGCCAGTTACAAAGGCTGAGCAGGTAAAATATTTTTTTCTAATATATGCTTCATTAACATGCTGAAGTAAAATTCATATGAATAGTATTACCTTAACTCTCTTCCATATACAGAAAAGCAAGTAAGGAAAAATCACAGGTTACTAAATTTTTTCCCCTTTGTCAGTTTGCTCATGAAAAATTTGCATGGCTTTTGACATTTTTCAAAAGTCAATACAATATACCAAGGTACTTCCATATTTCTCTTCACAGTCACATTTTCCCTTTGCTTGGGTCCCAAATATTTTAAATCAGTATTTGGCATTAATGTTAACTTTTTCCTCTCCTCCTGTAGGTACAATCTATTGAGTCAAAACTGGACTGTCTATTAGATATCTATCAACAAGTTTTGCGAAAAGGATCTGCATCTGCACTCACTTTGGCTTCATTGCAAATGCCAGCTTTTGAGTGTGAGCAGACTTCTGATTATCAGAGTCCATCAGACAGCAAAGATTTGTCTAATTCTGCACAAATTAGTGGATGTGTATCCAGATCAGCTAGTGCCAATCTGCCTCGTGGCCTACAGCTTATACTGACACCAAATGAATTTAGCACTCAGGCTTACTATGCTTTTAGTCCAGCTATGCATAGTCAAGCAACGCAAGTGCCAAATGATGGACCTGCAACAGTTAATAATACATCAAACCAAATAAACCAGGCAACTAAGCCAGCAACTCCAACAACATTACAAATACCACCTTTTTCATCAATGAAGCATATCAATAGGCCTGAGCCCGTTCATATTATTCCTGTGACCACACAGGAAAATATTTCCGATGTCACCGCTTGCCTTGTTGCATCAAAGGATAACGGACAAGTTGCACAGCCCAGTGCAACAAAGGATCTCACATGGAGAAAAAGTCTGGATACAGAAGGGGAATCTTTGCTCTCAGTTAAACCTGTGGTGCAAATGGATTTAGGAAAATCTTTATCTGTACAAAACCTTATACAATCAACAGAAGAACTGAATGTACAGATTGCTGGCAGTGACTCCAGTGGTTCCAGAGGTAGCCAAGATGTATACTCCAAATGGAGGGAGTCAAAATTATTTATAACTGATGAAGAGTTGGAGACAGAGGCAGGAACAGAGACTACTGAAGCCATTTCACGCCCATTAGTGGAAACAACTCTCCCTGCTGACTCTCTAAGGACTGGAATATCAAGATCATCTCAAAGCATCTGCAAGCCAGGAGACGGTACAGAAGCACTCAGTCTGCTCCACGTCAAACTTAAATAACAGCTTGTGGGCTTTCATTATTGGCTGGGTCATTCCTCTAGTCATACATATCATAGCATGAACTGTTTTGAAAGCCTTTTTAATAAGATTAAATACAAAAATCAGGATGAATCTGCAAAGCAGTTGAATGAGCCCATATCTCCTAGTTGCATGAAAATGCATGTTTAAGTGATGGCTGTCATTCAAATTTACACCTACAGTACAGCAGCCTTTCATGTAGTACAGTAGGTTTAAATAATGAGTTGCCTACAAAGCCAGTGCTGCAGGATGTATCAAAAAGCAAAAATCTGAGCATTTAGACCTAGTGCCGTTTCTACAGGGCAGAAGTAAAAATTGTGAGGTTTAAAGCACTTTGCTTCTGAACTAATTAAATATATATATATAATGTCCTGATTTAGATGATAGTTTATGTTTACAACAAAAAAAAAATTATCTACAGCTGCTAGCAAGGTACCAAGGAAACCAGTAATACGGGATTAGAAGTGGCTGCCAGTTGCAAGATACACACATTAGCTCATCAGTAAGCAGTTATTTTTAACTATGAAAAACAGTATGTTAATACCCATCTGATTTTGGGTGATTTAATGCTGTGGCAAAAGTAGGTGGCACACCACTATCACATTCTTTATAACAAAGACTATTTTCCTATGAAAAGTTTGCATTTTAAGGATTGGGGCTGGCCTCAGAAGTGGATAACCTGGGTGAATGCACTAAAAATTCAAGGGGATCTGTCCTTCTTCCAGTCTCACTGAGGAGCTATCTTGTGAATCTGAAACATTCTGGCAGCAGTAGGTGAGGGAAGGAAGCAGGCACTGCCTTTGTTGTAGAAACAGTATTTCCTTCTGTGGAAATCTTGGCAATTTTCCTTGCACTCCCAACCTGATACCACAACAGCACTTGATAAGGCTGGGAAAGGCAGGAAAATGAGGAACTGAAATACAGAGTAAAACTAAAGAGGACAGAACAGGGAAGAGAGAAAGACAACACAATCAATGAAAAAAAAAAATTTCATGGATGTAGATGGGCAGGAGGGGAAATGATCCCAGAAAATAAAACAAGGAAGGTAAAGAGTCAAATATACTTTTTTTTTAAATCCAGGCTGTCAGTCACAGATACTGAGTGCTATTAAAAAAAAAAAAAAAAAAAAAAAAAAAAAAAAAAAGCCATGTAGGCAATCAGAAATGGGAATAGAAGTAGGAAGAACCACCTTAACTGAAAAAAAAAAAAAAAAAACCACAAAAAAAAACAACCTGACTGAAGGCAAGGGGGGTTTTGTTTGTTTGCTTTTTAAGTAAAAAGGGAGGAGGAGAGAGGAGTGAGGGGAAAATGGTCACACTCACAGCTCAACATTGTGTCCCCGCTGCAGTCATTTTCTTGTGAACTCTTAAATAAAGGACCTTTACACTCCTTCTTCCTAATACCAGAGTTTTCAGATTCAAAGTCGACATCAGTCTGAGCATTCCTGCTTGATACATCCTCTTTTGTTCTTATGCTAACCCACACTTCACTTCTGCTGAGATGCAGGAGCAGCATTAGTGCCTATCTGCACACCCCCAGCAAGGCTTTGCCACTGGGAGATCCCTTGCAGATCCTAAACAGGCTTTCACTTGCAGAGCCCAAACAGGCTTTCGCTCTTCCCAGCTGAACAAGGTTTCTGTGCATTGCCTCCCCCAGATTTATACCCCACCTGCACCACAGACATAGACAACCTGCCTTGGGCTCAGCTTCCCTCCAGCAGCAGGAACATGGAATGCACACGGGGGTGCCAGTGCCAGCTCACTCAGGGCAGTGTATTCTCAAGGCCCATACCTGGGAACTTACTATGTACATCAAAATCATCACTCCAGTCTTAACGATGGCTAAATGCTGTAGATTGTATTGTGAAGGACTTTTATCTGTTTACTATGAAACCATTGTAATTTCTGCTTCCATATTTCCTTTACAGAAGTTTTCCTGGATGTTACATGACAGCTGTATTATGTGAAAGTACATGCAAACTGTAGAGTGTATATATTGTGTTGTTATACGAGGTCCACGGATGGTACACTGTGTTCCATGGCTTATGCCGGAGCAAACTTCAGCTGTTAAATCCTGAAAGACACCTTGAAGCACAATTTCCTCACCACTGATTTGCCATATAATTTACCACGTTCAGCCTTTCTTGCTTTTATGTGCTGTCTGATCATCCTAAGCCTGATTACAACAGTAATTTTGTGAGGATAAATAAGGTTTTTTCCACATCTCAGTTCATTTACCTATTAACTTATTTGAATGTCTGCAGTTTATCCAGATGGATCTGTAAGTTTAAAGTACTATCCAAAATTTTAAAACTTACAAGGGGTTTTTTGGCGTTTCTTTCTTTTTTCCTAGCTGTTTATGGTGCCTTTCTTGCCTTTCATATGAAGCCTCCTGCTGGCCTAAGCATAAACCTGCACTTAGGTTCAGTTAAGGAGCAAGAGATGGGACACACAGCAACTGTGTGTCAGTAATGAAATTCCCTTCCCCTCCTTGACAAGATCGAAAAATCAAGGCATCATGAATTGGACACCACTATTCCACGTTCATCTGCATGAGCAGGTGGTTGCACCCTCACTGACCCCAGAAGGCGTCAGTGGGAGAACTGAGCATTGGCCCTGCCTGTACCAATTCTGCATTAGAAACAGGGCCTTGGGTTTTGCTGATCATTTATCTCACAGAAACTTGGTATTTTTGCCTTAAATGACATGCTTGAGTCCTTCTAATTTTAAATTAATTTATTTAATACAATTTTGTGCACAAAAGAATGAGTTCTATAAATTATGTATGAAAATGTTAATATCTTTACAAAGTACTAATAAATCCAGAAGATCATATCTTTTCAAATTATGGTTTAAAATCCTGATTTTTTTCTTTTATGCTCACCATTATTATTTTTGTAGCTGCAAGTCTTATCATATAGGAATTTTTTAACATAATATTGATAGAAAATAGAAAGAGTAGTGAATATATGAAGTTCTGGAGAGGAAGAATTGTTTGTTTGGATTTTTATAAGCTTTGTTCATGTTTCCTCATTAGGAGTTTCCTGTTTCTATGCTCTCTCTTTAAAAGACAGTGTCATGACTGACAGTCATTCATTGGTTTCACAAAAGAAGGACCTGTCTGGCTTTTCAAGTCTTGTCCTGAGCTGCTTATTAAAGTCCAGCTCATGGCAGCTAATAAGAATTGTTCATGAGTAGGGACAAAGGACAATTCTTTTTCTGATTTACAATCCACTTGAGGATTGTTGAAGAGAAAATTTGAACTTAAGTAAGAGCTTCAGGAATTAAGCCTTATCCAAATAACTGTTTTCTGATCAGCATGTTTCTTGTACCTGATTGAAGAGAGAACTGAAAAGAATAGTTTTGATGATGACGATTTGTTTAAAAATTTGTATTTGCTCCTGGCTTATACGATCTATACTTTTTATTTAAATATGAATACGGTGTTTTAGCCTAAGGTTCAAGATTGCAAAGATCATACACTTTTATTCACAGTGCCCACGGTTGTTCCATATGTTTTTGAAATAATCCTACTTAGAGTGACTGCTCTCATTATAGTATGGTGATGAGTAATTCACCTGCTCTTCTGTGATAAGTCAGATCATACTGAATTGCTGATGTATAGTAGAACATCTGATATACAGTAGTATTTCTGGATTGGGACCTGCAATCCTCACTCAAGCAAAAATTCTATGGAATTCATTCATTCTACAGAATTCAAGAATTTTTCTTGAATTGGGAGCTCAGATTCAAATCCTTATTTTGTTGGGCATCTGTTTAAAGTGAAAATGGTAATATTCCAGTTATTTCCTGAGGAAACTAATACTTAGCTGAATTTACCCATGTCACATTGACTATGTAAAAAATAACGCACAAGTACTGATGTAAAAAGGGAAGAAGAGAAGGGACATTTTAAAAAAGCACAGAGAAAAGGAGAATAATCAGAAAAGAGGAGTAAGCAGGAAAAGAAAATATAACAGCAAAGAAATGAAAAAAGGGTTTAAACACCTGAGGCTAAATTCATCCTTGGATGGCTTCACTGACTTCAATGAATTCACTGCCCAACTGGGTGAAGTTCAGCCTCCATTGGGATAACCAGGCTCAGTTCCACTGACCTTAAAGGAACTGAACCCACCTATACCAGGAATGGACTTGCCTCTCTGGGCACACTTTTATCCTGACTCATATGTCATGCAATCCTTTTGGATTCATTAGGTTTGAATGAAATACAGGTCAGAAAAGAATTTGCCCCAGATATTTCTGCTTCACATTTTTTTTCAGGTGTGTTAATCGACTTAATTCAAATGGATTACAACATCACATGAAGTGCTATCACTGTCTAAAAAAGGTTAATTGGTTTTTTAAATGAGAATTGTCCCCTGCAGCGTCAGTGGAAGCATGTAATATTTTCCTGTTCATTCATCTGGATGCAAATGTGGCCATTCATTCAGCTGTGGCCACACATAGACGATTCCAGACATATCCAATATCATCTGCTATTGGAAGCATTTTTGACTTCTTTGAAAGATAAAAAGACAGTCTCGTAACAGGCTTAGAAAGCACGAAGGCTGCTTCCACTGACACTTGCAACAACATTAGCCAGTACATTACAATGTTAACTGTAACTTCTTGACAAAGTTGAATCCATATTGTTGTTAATAAAAATGATTTGAAAAGTACCATGCTTACTGGGGTTTTTTCCTTTCATAAAAGATTGTGTGGTGCAAGAATGTACCAGGCAAGAAAAAAATTTAAACTTGCCCATTTGTTTTCCTTTTGAAGTTTTGTAATTTTTTATTACATGGACCAAAACACCACAAAGGAAGTTTACTAATAGAAAATGTACACAAACCAGTCTGATATGTTCAGTTTCTGGTAACTGCTTACAGCAGAGTTTGCTTGAACTTTGGATGTTTCAGCACCTCTATGAAAATTAGTTTGGAAGTTATTATTACTTTTCCTGTTAGTTAAACAGTAATTGATTGAAGATCGGCAATCAGGGGCCAGTGCAAGGAGCAGGATTCCTCAGGGAAGCCTTATCTGCTATCCCAGTTTATCTTGAGCCCTAGGTGAAGCCCTTTCCTCTGCACTGAATCATGAAAGTTGCTCTAGAATGTTACTGCAGCAAACCGACAGCCTTCTTTCCCCACTTTGCTCTTCCTACAGTCCTGTTGAAGATAAGCTTTAGGATTTGAGTGTAAATTATTGAACATATCCTGTTCTTGTGGTGAAGTCACTGCCTGTGTGGAGGCTTCAAAATCAGAGCAAGATATTTCCTTGTATAGGTGACTCCCTACCTCTCTGATGAACGTAATCTTAGATATTGAAATTTAAAGTTGCAGTCTCCAGAAAGGCAAGATGTTCCTTGTCAGCAATTTATACCCACAGGCTATGTGAACACTGCCAAGGTCTGCCTAAGAATAGACAGAGGACAGGTATATACACATATATACACAGTTTTCTTGTGTTAAACTGGGCAGTCTTGTATCATGTGCACACAGAGATAAGGGAAGGGTCAGAAGACAGCAGTATGAAGTTTTTCCTGTTGAGTTACCCTGCAGATCACAATAGCCATGCACATGTAGTAATGTGCATCTATAAAGACACATACATAAATGTCCACCTTTCAGCTCTGTGCAATACGACTACAAGACCATGCCTAAAATGGGAAAAATTTAAACCCTCATTTAGCAGATATTCAGTGTAATTGGGGGGGAGGAAGTGTCGGGGGTGGGGGTGTTACCTTTTACTTAGGCTTTTTTTTTTTCTACTGTTTCACTGTGACTGTGACCAAGCACAAGGACAGGTTGTCCAGGGAGGCTGTGGAGTCTCCATTCTTGGACATATTTATAAGCCATCTGGCCACACAACACAGTCCTGGACAAGTGGCTCCTGGTGTCCCTGCTTGATCTGGGAGGTTGCATGAGACCTCCAGAGGTCCCTTCAACCTCAGCCATTCTGCAGTTGCTTCCATAATGAT